TTTAACGCAGTGAAATGTCTAAGCACTCAGTTTCGGAAAAGCAGGCTTACTAGTATTGCATATATAGTGGGCCACGTTGTTCGTATTCATTTGTAAATTAAATGAGCAATATATGTCTTCTTTATTAAAATATACGTGAATATATGATGTTTCTTGGACAAAAGGTTATACAGGCTATAGATCCTAAAACCTGAATGACAGTGTAAAGGCAGGTTCGGGGTCAAAATGATTTGGGAATCGACAAAGATTTTTAAAACCGAGTACTATTTTTTTCCTCAAGTATTACATTGTAGGACAACACAATTTGCTAAAAATGAGAAACAAAAAGAATATTTTTGTGAAGGCGTTCTACAAAATATATTAGAATTTGAATGGTATCCTGATTGAGTGGCGGAATATCGGTAGAATGTAAGCTCATTCGAAAGCCGTTAACCTGGTCTGACTGTAAATTGTCATCAATAAATTAATCTTACGAAAGATGAAAGCACATTTTAAAACTTTAATCGATAGTTCATGAGACAGCAGATTTGCTATATGTACGTAGGAATATCACGTAGTATACCATTGAAAAATTGTAACGTGTAAAAGTATAAGGTGCACGATTACTGACTAGGCTTATCTTAGTAAGATGAGGGAAGTGGCCTAACGTTCGTGTTTAGAGAATCTGTCTACGCAATTCTGTCAAGTGGATGAAGGTCTGGCATATCATCATAATCACCACCATCATCATCACTCAGTGCCCCTTATGATTACTTTCACTATAAGGTACATAAAATGAGAATTAAAAATACATGTCAAATACTATTAAATGTGTCTAACCGATGAGGCAGTTCGTAAAGGAAATATCATATTAAAATTGAATGACGCCAGCGGAGTTATGCTGATGCCTAGGTCTCCCCATGTGCTACAGCACGTTTCATGAATACTGCGACAAACGATGCCATGGTGCTTTGCGTGCACATCTATGTCAAGGTCGTTTGTCTTTTTGGAAAAGGGCTTGAGTAACTTGTCTGACTGAGGTCATTGACGTCCAATTTGCAGAGTTATGGATGGGTCGATGCAGCTAGGCTGCACAGGTTATGATGACCCCCAAAATATTCCCGGCTGACTGAGAATCTGGTTACACTTATGTTTATAATACATCTCAAGAAATGCTTCGACACATGCTGCTTGTCAAATCAGCATTCAGTAGTTTAGCATACAAAAGAAGCAAGCATATTTATGAATTCTCCTTATTAAAACAGCAAGCAGAATTTTTGCATTTTATATATTTCTCTTACATTTGTACTCTCTAAATGAAGTATTCAGGGCTTCTGTCGTTTACTCCAAATATACTGACTGATAAGGCTCAAGCGACAATTGCACATTACACTGTTTTCAAGAACTTCGCAAACATTCTGTGCATTTTTTACCTAAGTTTCTAAGGAGACACATGTACGTTTGACATGCAAAAAGGACATCTAGTCATCCTGAATACATTTTTTCAACTTATTACGTGAAAAACGTCTGTCATCGCATGGTAAGCAAGACCGTTCTGCAGTATTTTCACGGCGTGATTCATGTGGTCTCAATGTCCGTATTAACCGACAAATATTCGACAAGAATATTTTATGTTGCCGGTTCCAAAGTGTTAGCACAACGTAGGCATTAAATGTAATATAAGCCGAAAGAGGACGCTGAAACGTTTGTCGGACTGTAGCCGAGGTTATAAAGAAAATTATACATGATGCTTTTCTAATCGGCCACGAGAGTGAAAGAGTCTAGCATCCCCATAGGTAGAACTCGCCGAATGTGCACTCAGGGAATCAATACACCAAACTGATCGTTAACCCTCACCGTAACCACAGAAAACCTAACGCTTAATTTAAACCTCGCACAAACCCTCATCCTAACCCTAGGCCTAACCGTAACTCTAACTCAGACCTAATCCGCAACCGTAACTCTTAACTAAACCGAAACTGCAATCCTAACCCTAACACTAAGTTTTATCTAAAACTTCAACATTAAACTTTCACCTAAACCGTAATCTAAACCGTAACCCTGACCGTCACCTAATCTGAATTCCAGAACTTACCAGAAACCTGAACTCTAAACTCAATTATAGGCTTGACGCAAACGTAAACCCTTAAACAAACACTTACTCTAAACCGAAATATCTGGTTGGTTTTTACTCTTTTAGCCTAGGCAACTTTGTCAGTAACGATTTCAGCCTCATCCTTCGACTTATTTAAATTCAATGTCCACATTACGCTTGCACTTGAGACTCAAGCAACGCAACCGATCCTTCCGATTATTCTGCCAATTGCTTTTTGGATTTAAATTGTACTGCCTACAGAGACGTCACTCACCTTACCAGCCCGTCCTGTCCAATCCGAAGCTCAGGTCATCTGAGAACACACAGACACAGAGGAGAGTTCGACAGTCTGTTTCGACAATGTCCACTGTGTGCCCCACAACAGAGTGACAGCGAGGACAGCTCGTCATGTCCAATCCCAAGCTCGGCTCACCTGAGAACACACACACACACGGAGAAATCTCCCAGTTTCTCCGACGTAGTAGCCCTGTCTGCAACTGCACCCGATCTGGTAAGTGACTCCAGACGTTTCCTACTGTCCTACTTCCCGTGGGAATTTAAACCCATGAAAAAGCAAACACGCTAGATCAAGGCGACACTGTTGGCAATAGCGAATTCAGGTACAATATCGTAGGTCGAGATGGTGCCAGAAATGACCCTGGGCGTATTCGATTGTCTCCCAAAAAGGCAAAAAGAGTGCTCTCCCCTATGACTAGTCCTACCGGTAAAGACTTTCCGGCCTATGGACTGGCAAAGTAACTATTTCGACGTCTCAAGTTTCTTACCTCCGATTCGGACACCACAGTTATCTCATTAAAACAATTCTTGGTATAATTCGATTTTAAATGTTTCTATTTATGATTTTTTGCCCCACGAAATGCCCGTTCATAAAACGTCGTGTCTCTTTATTTGCTAATGTGGCTTGTAACGTTTACAATGTGACTCAAACCAACTGCTACATGTTATGAACGACATATTGCCGTACGCGGATAATATATGATTTGTAGTTTGGAAACGTTGCATGCAAGTATTATGGCAGGTTGGAAGCAAAACTAGTCGGAAATCGTAAAAGTTTCTGAAAACCGAATTATACTCTTTCACTGGGTACAAAAATGGAAGAAGTAATTTTCTACGAAATGACAATAAAGGATGAACGTGCTGCATCTCCTCTATGAAGTATAATTGAGTTTTAAGGGCATGGACAATATATAGGAAGAATGCATGGTAATTAAGTAGTCATTTTTTACAGAGTATAAATTTTGCATGCGGTCGAAAGGAAATTCGTTCGAAAGCTGACATCTCGATGTAGCTCAATTATTATAGAATTACGCTACATGATGATTACTTTTAGAACCCTACTTTAGTAATCATTTCGAAACAAATCCCATTTCACAATTTCAGTTAGAATTTCATGGGCTAACACTCCTACTGTACTTTCAATAGGGAGTCCGCCTTAACTAGAGCTGTGCTCAAATGGTGAATGGAGCATACCAATGCCACTTTGAGTTCACAAGATGAAGATGCGATCACTGGAACAAGAAATTTATTGGCCTGACGTTTCAGATTCTCACTCGAATCAATCAGCAGAGATATTGACAGATAACGATCTGCGAATGCCACATTCAGTTTCAAGACTGAGGCAGATATTTTAGTTTTCATAGGTGTCAAGCGTCAGCTATGTATCATAAACATTCCCTGCTCTCAATGTTTGCGCGAACCACTCAACGAATTTCACTATTCGTGTGATTTGCTTCCGCTTGGTTGAGAGTTGGATTTTTAATTAGTCCCACAGTTATGCATAAATATTTCATAGTTAAACTCCTCACAGAAAGACATATGACTTGTACCTCGAAAGACAGAATTCCTAGGCTGTTCATTTGTAAAAATGTAAGCAATCTTAAAACATTCTCAGCAACCACCGAGGCAAACACTTCTGCTAGGAAACACCACAGGGGGCTGACAGTTTAATCATAAATTGATCAAATTCCCCGACCAGTTTATTACACCGTATGCGTCCCACCAAATCTGATACGGCAACTAACTGGACTCGCAGGATTTTATAAGAAGTTAATCTAGAATCCTCCAAATTACTACAATTATCAAATAACTGATTGGTGTTCCTGGTAGATTTAAATAATTCGTTTGCTCCATTTGTTAAAAGGCAGATGCCATGGATGCACTTTAACCCTTGCAAAAAGTGGACGGTCTTGTGAACATTCAAGGCCCCGCCTGCAGCCGAGAAGTAAATCGTATTTGGATAAAATTACCAGCCCAGCGTCTGCAAGGAATGGTATCCACTAAATCTGATACAGTTAGTTGATTGCCCAACCAGGATTGTCTAAGCCCGCAATAAATTATCTACCGGACAACTGCCAGGTTCAAGTAATCAAATGATTTTTGGCAGGTTTGACCGATTAATTTGACTAAAATGTTGAAACCGTCGGCGACCTGCTGTTATTCGAGACCACCATAAAGCGAACATATCTTGGGGCGGCCAAAGTACTATCATATATGCAAAAAGGCCAGACCGTCAGCCGCGTGTTTAATTCAATTTCGATCAAGTTGTCTACCAAAGCTACCTCAAGATATGGAATCAACCAAATCCTATGCAGTAAGCCCTTAACTGGGTAGTCAATTAATAACTCGATCCCACGTAAATATAAGGTTGAGGAAAGCCAAACAAAACGGCGTCATTAACACAGACTTAACTGTCAACGCCACCCAGAGAAGAACAAAGATAATGTGTGAAAAATCAGTTAATCTAACGAAAACTAGCGCCACATGGAGTGTACGCGTAACCGTTCCATAAACACCAACTTAAACAAAAGTGGATAAATACGAGTCTAGGAAATGCTTAGCAAGTAGAATAACTACAAAAGGCAACCTATAAACAAAATTTGAAAAAGACCCATCTCAGTACCCCCACCTAGACTGGAGGACGTCGGAAAACGACGCAGACTGCAAATGCAATATGAATATATCTGAGTGATAAGGTGGTCAGGAAAGTGGACGCGATGGCCATTACGAGTGGCGTTGAAAGAGATAGGGACGGAGGCGGTGGAGGGAGGTGGGATAGGATAGCGTTGTGAAGGTGGAAGATCATGGGGTGGGAAGGTGGCGGATCATGGGACAGGAGGTCAGCACAATCCTGTGACTGACGCTTAGCAGTTGGAGGAGGAAAATTACGAACTGCTTCAACATTGGAGGGGAAGGGACGCAAATCTTCAGAGTCGACCTGATGGTCCAGGAACTCGAGCGAAGCCACACTTAACACGCACTTGGAGGAGTTGATGACAACGCCAATGAAGATGCCAAACCGGTTTAGTTGTCGGGCGATCGCTTCGGAAATACCCTGCATGTAGGGTAGCGAGTAGAATTTCCGATATTCTGGTCCCTCATTAGAAGCAAAGCCTTGTGGTTGTCTTTGATGCCTGAGACAATTTTTTACAAAGCTGACCGGGTATCCGTTGAGTCGGAATAACCGATACAGGAAAGCGAGTTCTTTCTTACGTAGATCGTCGCTGCTGCAGTACCGATAGGCCCGGTGGAAAAGGGTTCGGACACAGCTCCTTTTATGAGCCGCAGGATGGTTGCTTTCATAATTAAGAATGACGTCAGCACTGGAGTCTTTTCGGTAGGCGCTTGTTGCTAGGCCGCCATCACTTAGTGTTTGGATACTAACGTCTAGAAACGGGAGAAAGCCTCCTGTTGCCTTTTCGCAAGTAAACTGGATAGCTGGGAACACGCTATTCAGACTCAGGTGTAGCTGCTCAATTTCGCAGGTCTTCATGATAACAAACGTATCATCTACGTATCTGAGCCACATTTTTGGTTTAAAAGTTCGCATAACCTCCTCTTCTAGTTGTTGTAGTACTAGTTCAGCTAGTAGACCTGATATTGGCGACCCCATTGGTGTGCCCATAACCTGTTGATAAAACTTTCCATCGAATTTGCAGTAGTTCTTGAGACAGAGTCTAAGAAGTTCTGAAATGTGTTCTATCGGAATGTTGGTTGGGTTATCTTGCAGGCCTTGGATCTTCTGGAGGAATGCCTGAGAGTTTTTGATGCTATATTGTGATCCATTGGTGAGGTGCTTCAGGTGCCTGTATAACCATTTAGCGAGGTTGTAGGTGGGCGATCCAATAAGCGGCACAATGATCCTCAATGGCGCACCTTCTTTGTGCACCTTTGGGAGGCCATATGCATGGGCTATTCGGGGGTCGTTGAGAGTCATACATCTGGAGTCATCGGGGGTTATGAGCTTCAGTCGAGTGAGCTCATTCACCTTCTTTTTTACAGGTGCGGCTTGCTTTTTAGTCGGGTCCTCCTCGAGTGGTGTGTAGGCTTCCCTGTCGTTAAAGACTTGGTTCGCCTTGTTGACGTAATCACTCTTTTCCATGACGACGGTCGCGCCACCTTTGTCAGCAGACACAATCACAATGCTGTCGTCCGTCCTAAGCGACTGTAGTCCTTTTTCTTCATCGATTGGCAAGACTTGGTGGTGCTTCCTTTGTCGAAGGAGACCAGTGGCACAGTTGCGTATGTCTGCGCGCATTTCTTCAGCCACAGCAGAGGTCAGTAAAATAGATTCAAGGCTCGCTAAGAATTTTGTGGGCGTAGCGTCAGAGTGGCTGAATTTTGTTCCTCTAGATAATAGACTAAGTACAGCGGATGTTAGACTCCTTTTAGAGAGGTTAACAACTCTTGTCGATCTGCTGGTTTCGTTGACAGGACGAAGAAGAGATTGCAGTTTCGCTTGAAGATCGGCTCGCTTTTTCATTCTGGCGTCTAAAGCAGTGGCATTTATTCGGTGTAGCACGTCTGCGAATATATTTTCAGGCAATGTTGTGGCACACTGGCTTCGAAGGTTGGATATTGTTGCATCAAATCTGCAAAGGCGACGGTGGACGTCTGATATAATGGCACCCAAAACGCGAAATCCATATTTGCGTGCAAGTAGCCTCCCAGTCTCATTCGGTAGAGTGGGCTTGAAACGAAGAAACTTCGGTAGGATGCCATGATCGCGACATCGATGAAGAAACGTCAGCTGCTCGTAAGTTGTATCCCGTCTTTGAGCGAATTTCTCCCAACGTCTGGTGAGAAAAAACGTTTGACGCCCAAAAATATGCTGGATAGCTGAGGTAGTGTGCATTCCGAGATAATATGATGAAGAGAGAAGGCTCGTCGGAAAAATTGAGTTGTACTCCTTAATTTTCGAGCTGGTGACACCAACCCGTCGTCAGACGAAATAAACAGTGGAGAAAGTGAACTGGTCAGAATAAATTTGCTGGCGTGACAGGGCAGCCAGTGACAGGCAAGCAACTAATGTGTGAATGCGGGAGGACAGATAATTAGGCTGGGATCCGTCTGACGACGGGTTGGTGTCACCAGCTCGAAAATTTACGAGTACAACTCAATTTTTCCGACGAGCCTTCTCTCTTCTTCATATATATATATATATATATATATATATATATATATATAGTTAAAGGCCAAGCATTCTTTTATACGTGAAATTGTATCCGGGTGTTTTTCACCAGGCATAGTCGGTCCGTTTTTCAACGGTACCCATTGCACCACATCATGTCTTGTCGTCATGAATGCGTTCCATCATCATCACCATAATCATCAACGTAGGAGGAGGAGGAGGAGATAGTGCGAGGATGCTGTGAACGTTTGATCCACTATAACCATATTCATGGGCTAGTTAGTGCTGTTATCATTCATGAATTTACGGAGAGCATCGGTTTTTTTCACTGTCTACAAAGTATATGTTTCGTACCGATCCCTAAAAAGCATCCAATTTTTACAGAAATGTCATCAGACGAAGGATATTTGTGAGCTTTCCATTTTAAAATATGTTTATTCTAATTTTTACTTCTACAGGGCTGTGGAGGACGTTACTCGACGATAGATTATAAAAACACGACAAAGATCAGCAGATGTTGGTTCTTAATCATTGTCTTTGAATTAGCCAAGGTGATATATGGCTTCCACATGTTCATTAAGCTTAGAACAATCTCGCTGTCGTGAAATATCTAATGGTCCGACACCGTCGGGTAACCGCCAATCAATATTGTCTGCATTGGCCTCTTATTCAGCGGATTTGGCCAGGAGCATAGTGCACAAGAAACGCCACATAGACCAGTGCTCATTAGTTGCAGATACGCCGGATCTAACAAATTAAAAACACCGGAATCGATGTACAGTAGGACCGAGGTGCTCCGTGATATAAAGTATTCCGTGAATTTGTTAATGCTGAACAGGGGTTTCTACCAGGTACTGACCCCCCGAGAGATAGTGTGCGATGTTAACATTGTAGCGATCCCAGGTTAACCAGCACATCGTTCGGGACGAACATGCATCTTCACATAGACCTCATTTCAGTGTTGTTAAAGTATGCTAAATTGAAGTCAAGTGATTAAGTCAGGTACGGGTCAACAGTTCCTATCAAGTCTGACATAGTTAACACACAGCCATGCACTAATTTATGGCTCAAGCGCAGCCAAACACAGAGAAAAAAATCTCCCAGCATGCCATAAATCGCCGTTTCAGTAAACTGTTGCCTCCAGGAAGATGAAAAGTTCCAGCAGGAGAGGGAAAGGGTCACTTAATTAAACCACATCATTCTTGCCAAATGCCCTAGTAAACGCAACTATGAAATTGCAAACTGAGTTGAGAAGTGAGAATGGTAGCGCTCACTCCTCATCGACAACTACACAGTGGAATACCAGTTATCAGCACACTGACAGGTTCTTAACTGTCCGTCCTTCTTCACAAGAGAACGTAATGAGCGTCCAAGTTTGGGGAAGACGGGTTGCCCGTTGGCCTAGCTACTGGCTGCCCGTCGTGTTCAGATGTGGTGGATTGCTGGATCGGACTTCAGTCAAAGTTACCTGCGGAATGAGCAGACCCAGATTTTTACGAATAAGCCGTCGCGGACCAGCAGTGACAGTGCTATCAGTGTTCGGAGGGCGGTGGTCTGGCGCGCTGAAAGCCCGGTGACAGCTCAGTTACACGTCGACTGCGAACCACCATTAAAAAAGTTGACTTGCCGCCGCTGCCTTGTGGTTAGCCCCTCGGGCCAAAGCGCAAGAGGAGATGACCTTGAATCGCCGGTTTTCAAAATTCCCTAAGACACTTCATGAAATATGCCCGATTACATTATTAAGATCCAAGCTAACCCATCCGCAGGAACCGAATCCATCCACAACCCTGGTCTAATGGTACGAACGAGTAGTATGCGAGCTAGGCCGTAGTGGAACTGCCCCGAGCGCTTCTCTCAACGCTCAGCCTCTCGCATTTGTCCACAGGGCTTCAAGGCCGAGTCAGACGTGGCCTGGCTTAAGAGTCTGTGGCGCAGTCCCTCACACATTTTGGTAGCCGCTCGCCCGGCCTCGGACGTGTCCACGAACGGCTGCCACATTACTCCAACCCCTCAAGTTATTCTGTATATAAAATATTATCCTCCCTAATGTCGGCCACCTTCTCTTTCCGAGCCTGACGCTCATGGTAGCCAGGGCCTCACTCACGCCAATGAGGCCACTCAATTGATAACGAACTCTGCGTATTGGATATCTGTATGTGCGAACATTTTTTGACTCTGGTTCCCAGCGTCTGACAACGCACAGCCTTCATCAGTATAACACGGATGTCCGCTACCTATCTAAAGTTCGACCTCCCGCCTAAGGCTCTCGGGAAATCGTATCACGGATGTCGATACATACCTCAACCCTGTAGCACAGCGACACTTTTGGTAGACATAGTGTGGCGGTCGCCCTCTCGCAGCCAGCAAGGGCTGTTTTACTTGCTCGGAAGGCAGTCAATGACCGGATGGCATACGAGCCACCGAAGGATCATTTCACAATCCCCTCTATTGTCCCTGTGTACGCACCAACTTCAGCTGACGAGCAGCTCGATAAAGAGGTGTTTTACTTTCAGCTGGAAGCCTTAGTTGAAAGACTTCCTCGCCGCCATGTGATGATTGTTGTTAGGGATTGAAATGGTCTGACTTTACCTGAAGACTTCAAAAAAAATCTTCATTTTGGCAACTTTGGGCTTGGTTCCCGATGTGAAATTGGCGAGAGAGTTCGCTGATCAGAACAGATGCTGTCCCCAACACGTATTTAGAACATCGCAACATAAATCTGCTGACCTGGTACTAAAACGAGAGACATAAGGCCAGTCAGATTGATTACATTCTAGTCAGCTTAAGTTTGCGGAGCTGGATTTGCGATAGCAGACCGATGCGTGGTGCTGGGACTGCTATCGCCATGAATCGGCCCATGTTTCTGTTTGTACACGCTTCAAATTTCACCTCCCATCCTCGAAAAAAAATGTCCTGTCCCTGACGTCTTGATGTCGTTGAAATCTGACAAGCCAGCACTGTCGAGGCCCTGAGCAGAGAAATCCAGTCCTTTTTTACCACCCGAGCTGACGGAGAAGGCAGGAACCAGTGATCGTCACTGAAAACGGCAGCCAATGGGGCAGCTAAGAAAATCCTTGGACACACCCAGCGACGCCGCAGTAACTGCGTCGATGGAAGAATCCTGCAGTTTACGGCTCAAATCAGGTTCCGTAATGATGGTTCCTTCCGTCAACTTCGAAAGATCATGGCAATGTCGGCCAGAGATGACGGAAAGAAATAATCGGCTGAAATGGCGACCAACAAGGAGCAGGGCTACAACGTTGGTGACAATCGCAAACTCTACCACAGTATGCGAAAAACTAGTGTTAAACCATCATACACTACGTGACTGTGTTCGAGACGCGAATTGAGGCTTTGGTGCAGACAACTCGGTTATGGTCAAGCATTGGCATGAGCATTCCGAGCCCCATCTGAACATTGATTTCCTACCCACCACACCCTTGCTTTCAACGGGTTCTCCTCTCTCTCTCTCTCCAATCTATGCAGTGACATGCTGCCCCCCTCTGAAAGAGAAGTCGCGATGTCATACAAAGGCTACGCAACAACAAGCATCTAGAGGGGACGGTATGCCTGCTGAAATCAACAAGTCTTGTGTGGACACTGACGCTCTCCCGTGAGATGATTTATCAAGCGTGGAGAAAACAGGTCGCTCTTGATGACTGGGGCTCCGGCATCCTTGAACTTATTCTCAAGAAGAAGTATAAGACGAGATGGGAGAACTTCTGCGAAATAAGTAAAATCGTATAAAAGTGAGGCTTCTCTGAACGATAGAGAAAAACGACAAATGACCAAGTAGACACAGTTAAATCTAATTCTGAAAATCTATCTTCTTATAACAAAGAAAGGAACAGTATCGTCACGTACACTGCGCCGTTAACTTATAATAGGTCACCAAGGCGGAAGGTTTGCCTGAAACTCGTAAGCCACCATGAAGACGTAAAACTTCTTTCCAACTTTCTCTTTACAGTGGTGTTTTTGTGTGACGTTATTGTAACCAGAAGGGAGTTCAAAGGCGTTTTCCTAACTTTTCGATAACAAAACTGCACTGATCTGGATAAAAAGAAGTTCCTTTGTCCGAACAGCATAAACGGCACCGGCAAAGTCACGGCAGCCAGACCACAACGAGGACGGGCAAATCGGTTTCGGGAGTGGTGCTACAAAATCTCCGCATGAGATCGACATCAACAACTGCAACAAAGAAATCAACAACTGCAATTGTAAACATCTATAGCATACACCTAAGCACATGGAAAGTTGAATGTAGAGAAACATGCGCTTTTGAAGACGAGGCGATCGTTTAGACGAGTGTGCAAACAGATTGTTAAAGGCTTATCTCGTTCACATGGTTTTCACTGCAAAAGCAATGCATAACCAACTTTACATAATGCCAATATATCCGATTTCGCATATTCTCACTCTACTATATTACTAATTCAATCAGTATACAATTAGAAATCAGCTTCCTTTTGACTATTGAAGTACCTACACCTATATCTTTTAGCAAATGCAAGACTGTTGAATAAATACTGTGGACACTGATTATTCACTTTTAACCGGGAATCAAATGGCAAAAGTAAGAAAGCTAAAATTTCGGGAGAATTTCACACATATTATCAGGATTTTTACATTCCAGATATTTGCATGCAAACACATTGTAAGTGTAAAAACAAGTAGTAAGAAGTCGATGTTAACATATTTTAGAAGTTACTTAGTGAATAAGGTTACTGATTGATTTATAGCATACAGTATTTGGGAAATGTCAACTGAAATACCAAAATAGGTTTTGTTTTGAAAAGATTAATTAAGTAGTGTTGTAAACCCTGTTATCCTGCATTATAATTTTACAATATTTCAATTACCGCAAGATACCGCCTTTCGAACGGACTTCCTTCCGATGGCATGCAAAACCTACACTATGCAAAAAATGACTACATATATTGCATGAATTTTTCTCATTGCTTTTAAATGCCCCTGAAATTCCGATTATATTCATGGAAAACAGGCATAAGTATATTGATTTTTTGCTTACTCGGTAGCAAAACAACGTCTTCTTCAAATTCTATACTCGAAGTAGGGGCATAATTCGATGAACCCGCTCTACGGTATATTTGGATTCAATGTTTCCGAACTACAAACCGAATATTTTTTGGCGTACGGAAAACTGCACATTTCTCAACGGGAATAAGGATGGAACATATATGGTTCATAAAATTTTGCAGTGGATTTGATCCATATTGTTAACTTAACAAGACACATTGGTTCAAGCACATACATGAAAATTTATGAGCGGTCATTATACGGTATTTAAACGTCCCACAATAAGAACTTTTTTAAGGCCAAATTATGTCCCTCCTTAGACTATAAAATTAGAAGAAGAGTAATTTTCTAACGGATGAACAAAAGAAGGAATGCTTGTATGCATGTTTCCCATGAAATATAAATGGACTATAAGGGGCATCGAAAATCAATGAGAAAAATGCATGCTGCATAAGTAGCCATTTTTACATAGTGTCTTTTTTGCATGCAGACGGAAGGAAGTTGGTTCGGAAGCCGGCATCTTGAGGTAACTGAAATATTATAGAATTATGTTACAGACTGACTAGATTTACAACGCTACTTTATTACTCTTTTCGAAACGAAAACCCGTTTCAGAATTTAGGTCACATTTCATGAGTTAGCCCACCTGCTGTAAATAATTACTTCCTACATTTAACGGAATACTCTGGTGATTTTTCGGAAGGCATACGGCCCCGCTAACCCTGCAAACATGCTGCTATCAGGCAAACCGACAGAAGCGGGTGCATCTTTTGTAAGACAGTGCCAACTTTGCCTCTGTGTTTAAGCCTTTTGAAACTGAACCACTTGATCAAATGAGGTCACAAACACGTTTCAGGTGTCTGAGGTACTGCTCTTGTGGTGCTGGCATGATGCATCGTCACGCAGCCCTGACATGATTCGGGTCGATAAAATGGCGGCAGTTGGCCTTTTGTAGCTATTGGTGATTTTTACTCAACACGCGCTGCACGGTAACTTCACCGTATAGCAGGCAATACTGTTAATGCGCACTCACAATAAATGTCTACAGTGGGGATGCGGCGGCTAAAATGCCTTTGTTTTAAATGCAGTATCGAAACGCAGCCGATCTAACTGGCCCATCCATCTACGATGCGACACCGCGAATTAACGTTAGACGCATTATGTTATCACCAACAAAGACAAGGGAGACTGGAATGGCCATTTTCAGAACATTAACCATCGTCAGCCAGTCACAGTCACTCACGAATTGTGGAACACCTGGGGGTCGATTCCGCAACCTGGCGGTCAGACATCCAACGCCTATGTCATGCCTATATCATGCGTCGTTGTGCGCATGCTGTTGGAGCTAGAGGGAAAGAAAGAGAGAGCCCATGAGGCATAACGGGACGATTGCATTCCTTAAAAACGATTGGTGAGCGCCCCTCTACCACAGATAGACACATCCTAACGTTGGCTTAGGCTAGGTATCCTAGCGGTCATCTGCCTGCGAATTTCGCACGATCAACATCACCTAGTACCCCGCCAGTAATTCAGAAAAAAACTAGGTTCTACTGAATGACATGAGTTGATGGTCGTTACGAATTTGAAACAATCGTGGAAAAGATTTTCGGGAAGATATGCAGGTATTGGTGGAATTGGTAATTTAAAGGTATACTTTGGTCTCTTGCAGAAGAGTTTGTGCAAAAAATTTAATGGCATGAGGGAAATTAATAACTTTGGTGTGGTGCTAGCACAAAATCATCGCACAATCGTCGGCAGTAGGCGAAAATGATGATGCTGCCGATCGCTATATATATATATATATATATATATATATATATATACATATATGGCTGAATGGCATCTGTATCGCAAAATTGCGACATTGATTTTGCGTTTTCCGGCGTCCTTTATTACGTGTTAGAGTGTAAATCGGATACACTTGTCGAGTAAAATCCTTCTCAAGTGATAATTTCTCCCACTTCTCAACTGCTCACTGGAAATCAGTAATTTGATTATCGGTGTCTCTGTCAAAGAGTGTGTTCGCCTGCCGATTGAAGTCATCCCAATGGCTATGGTCACGGTCTGTGTGCCCATGTAATCCTGCAGACATTTTACATGACACCCAGGGGAACGTATAAGGTCACGTTCAATGGAAAAATCCAAAGGCCAAAAAAATGTCCTGAGACGCAGCATACTAGGCCGTAAAATTCAGCCTTCTCACTGCAAAAGGTTTACTGATGCCGATGAGTCCTCCGACAATCAAGACGTCATTCATGCGTTTGCACTTCTAAAGCACAACATTCATGCGTGTTGATTTTCTGAAGTTGCATCATTGACTGAAGTAATCTAATACTATTTTGGATATTATTTAATTAAAGCCTTGTTTGGGTGACTCAGGACAACATGTCTGTCAACTGTATTCAGCAAGTGTTCTGACGTGTGTTTAAACAACACCTCTGTATGGCATGCTAGTCCACATGAAAACAAACATAATTAACTCCTTGTGTTTACAGTTTCCAGACATATTTTACACATGGACGATGAGTCTTGACTGATGTGGCAAGCAGTGGCTACGAACTCCCACGTGGATGGACGGGACTTTACTGGAATGAATCCCTACCGTCTGCTTTATAGTATGGTGTTGAATACTTCCAATGCTCTTCAGTATGTGGCCAAATTTCCAAGCAGTGAATGAAAAGTCTTTTTTTTCATTTAGGCAACATTTTGCCTGAATTTTAGGAAAACAATTATACAACGTTCATTGTACCGTTCCGAGCACACACTGTCGGAATTCGTAAGGAAATATTCATAAATCCTTAGAAATCACTAAACGTTGCTCAACATATCGAAACAAGTACAAATATGCATGCATTTGCGCAAAAATGATCTGAACAACATGAGTTTAACTGGATTAACCAACAAGCTTGCGGCAGTATGCTTATAGATAATCACTACAGGTTAGCCAATTAATGTTCTTTCGAAGAGATGGTGTTGGATTAACAGCAGACAAGCTCCAGCTATTTAACTGATAACAAACAGACATCCACGGTAGATTCACAAAACCTTTACACAGAAACAATGGACGTGTTCAGTCTCTTAGTAAATAACTATAACACAGAGAGTTATTAAATTTGTCTGATACGTTGCATTTTAGCTCGCGTCATCGTGAATGGTATCCGTCTACTTCCTTGTCAAAGTGTGCCTGTAAATGTTACCTTACCTGTCATTTACGATAAAGTGACGTCCAAAATATCCGAAAGTTTCACATGCTTCTGTGTACTGTCATGCACTCATAGGTTGGATAGGGATCACATGTAATGCAACTCGTTTTGTACGGTTGATCATTAGCCCTGAAGACCACAAATATTTCCGAAATAAATAAAGGATGCCCAGACACAAACTACGTTCGCGAGCATCAGAAAGCCCTGAAAGGACTCTGCAAACGAAAGCATCTTAAGTTAGGTCTCAGCCTATAGACCCAAAATATTCTGATTTACTCCAAGGTCGCACTTAGTTTTTCACCAGATTGAAAAGCTACGATCTTATGTCGCACACTATTTTATTTCAATGAATACGTCTACTTGTTATGCTTACGTTGCAATATCAGTGCATAGTGTAGTTAGAAATGTTCATACAAAGGCGTTATTAATTGAGATTTCTACCCTGAGAACAATGCAATGTGTCATCAATTTAACTAAATACCTCTCGAGTAATGCGGACGCATCAGTTTCGCGTGCCACGAAAAGGAAATTTATTATATGTTCAACAAACCAACTATAACTCGAACAGTTCGCAGCTCAAGTGGTTGTCGCCTCTAGCAATAATGTTGGCTTCGTCAAATCTGAATGCGTGGTTGGTCCCGCGAATTGGGTGCTGGCGTCTTTCCTCCTGACCGCCCAACATCTCATTCAAAAGTGCTCCAACTTACGGACGGGCAATGTGTCTGTTTGGGCGTCTCAAGTTTCCGACCGCAAATTCAGACAATACAGTCAGTTCGTCAACAGAACTATTGGAGAAACGTAATGGGGTAAGCCTCCTGCCGAGCGACGTCACGGTATCCTTTGATGTCACGTCCCTTTTTACTTCTATTACACAGGACCTGACGCCGAGACCATCGAACTTCTCATACGAGACAAATAGGATAAAGTAGAGAATCGTCTTGACATGCTCAGATACTGCACATTCTGCAGTTCTATTTTAAGACGTACTTTACGTTTGACGAACAATCTATGAACAGGGGAAGGAAACAATAGCTTCGGCGATTTCTGCAGTCATAGCCGATCTGTTTTTCCGACACCACAGACCGAAATTCTAGGTTCGGTGCGTGGATGATACCTTCGCCGTCATCGAACAGGATCAGATGCTGGCATTGGATGAAAGGCTCAACGCCGTCTTTCCGGACATTCAATTTACGATCGATGAGGAAGAAATCAATCAGCTAGCAGTTCCCGATGTGCCCTTCTGCAGCAAAGATTGTGTTAGCTTAAATCCAAAGATCTGAGGAAGGCGACAAAAACAACTCAAGTACTGATTTACAACAGCAATCACCCAATTAGTCACAAACGCAGTTTCATAAGGACTCTATACAGGCGTGTTGAGACACACTTCAGTGAATCGGAAGGCAATGTTGCCGAATTACGATACCATCGACGGGAATTCAAAGCCAATGGCTACCCGCGCAACTTCATCGACCAGTGCCTGCGCAAAGGAGACGAGAGACGAAATTCAACAGGCCGAATACTTTTGCGAGCTCTCCCTTAAGTGAAGAATGTCTCAGAAGCCGACAGCCGCCTTCTGACACTCTTTGGAATTGGAGCAGCACAGACCGGTGGCAACCTTAAGGCGCCAGATCATGAAGCCGAAAGACCCGTTGCCATGGTAGGAAACATCTGGGGCCTACCAAAGGTTCACAAGCAGGGGGTGCCCCTACGCCCCATCGTCTCCTTACGTGGTACTCCAACCTTTGGGCTGTCAAAGTGGCTGTACCAACGACTTTGTTTCCTTACCAAGGATTCGGAGTGGACAGTGAAGTTGGCTGAAGAGTTCTTGACGCGCATTAAACATCTCGAAGTGGAGGCAGATGAGGTGATGGTGTCATTATTCACCTTCATCCCACCCGCGCTGGCTATCGACACTATTGATGGCTTTCTCCGGGAAAAGTATGATGAAACCGACCAACAGCTCAAACGGGCACACCTCATCGAGCTCCTGTAACTGTGTTTTAAGACCTTCTTTTCATTCAACGGCCAAGTCTACGAGCAAAAGAAGGGGACACCGATGGGCTCGCCTCTGTCTGGACTAATTGCCGAAGCAGTTTTGCAGAGACTCGAGCAGCAGGTCTTTAGCTCGTAACCCTCGAAGTTCTGGGCCAGATAAGTCGACGACACGTTCTTTGTAATCAAGAAGAGCGATGTGAAGGCTTTCAAGGCATTGTTGAACTCCATCTTTCCCGATATTCAGTTTACTATGGAAGAGGAAGTTAACAATCAGTTGCCCTTCCTGGACGTACAAGTCACGAGATTGACAGACGGGAAGATAAGGACAACGGTTTACCGTAAAGCAACAAATACCAGGCGCATCCTCCACTTCCGAAGCAACCACCCTGTTGGTCATAAACGCAGTCGTTTCAGAACTCTCTTTCAACGCGTTCAAACACACTGTAGCGACGACAGTGGGTGGAAGGAGGAGATGAATTACTTGCAGGCCCTTTTTAAAGCCAACGGCTACCCGAAGTCCTTCATACGCAATTGCCCCAAAAAGCCTCATTTTGAGCGGTCGAGTGGAGAAAAGCCCAAGTTCTGGCTCTCAATACCCTATGTGAAGAACGTATCAGAGGCAACGGCAAGAATCCTGAAACCTTTTGGGATTGTCGTGGCTCATAAACCAGAATGCACCATCAGACAGCAAATCATGAAGCCCAAAGACCCGCTACCAACAACAGAACAGTCGGCGGTGGTCTACAGCATATTATGCCTAAATTTCAATGCGAGGTATTTTGGTGAAACGGGCAAACGCCTCGGTACAAGATTGCACGAACACCCACCTGCAATCAACCGCAAGGACAAGCTGTCTTTGGTCTATGGCCACATAAGAGAACTGAACCACGATTTTGCCTTTGAGAAAGCGAGGGTAATTGGCAGAGCCAATGAGAAGATGGCCAGACTGCTGCTCGAAAATTGGTCCTCGGCTGGTACACTCAACCGAGCTATAGATCTACATCCCGCCTATCAGGCGCTGCGTACATGGCTCGGATCAGTCCGAACAGGACCAGTAAGGCAAGCGAGCACGCGGGACCGAGAGTCAACGATCATGGAAAAGAGCGGAATTGGGGGCCAGAGGTCATGTGACCAAGACGAACACTCCCTCACCGACGCGCCCGCGAAGCTGAATGCTGCTCAACTGAACAGCAACGACCGATCAGTCCACCGGCTGATGTGGGAGAGGCCAAGCGGCACGTTGATTTGACCACAATTACGCCGACACCAAAGGGAACAAAGGTCACGCAGGCCTGTCAGCGGTCAGCCCCGGGGAGGTCTAAGCCAGTCAGCGGCAAACAGGCAGGTCAAAGTTCGTGCGTCCAGCACGGCTATAATAGGAGGCAAGCGGCAAGACTGATTAAATCAAGACCCGCAAGTGCAACAACTACGATACTCTGATGATGGAAACGAGGAAGTTTCCGAAACGTCAGTTCGAATACAATATGGTGCATGAATTCGCCCTCTCTTCTTCTTCGTCTTATTCGGGAGATGATGAACGAGATAAATATATATATATATATATATATATATATATATGGTTAAAAATTTCAGAAATTAATCAGTCCAGAACTAAGTTCTGACTTTTTACGGTCAGAACCGAAATTTCAATGAACATTTGAGTCGAGGACAATCAACTACTGTTGAATAACCGCGTAATGCCCATTCTACAAACAAGTAGTACTACGAGTAGTATGAATTCCAAATGGTAATGGTATTATATCGTACTCCCGACCTAGATACTTGCTAAAAGCCCAGACACGTGTTTCGCCGACATTCAGCCGCTGCGTGACACAGCTGCGAGGGGTTCGGCTCTTCTCTGGGACCCCCAGCGTTCTCTTGCGCTTTCCGGTATATGAACTCCAGAGAATAATCAGGTGAATAATTTCAGAAATTAATCAGTGCAGAACTTGGAGTTAAATCTCCGGGACATGACGTTTTATGGTCAGAACTGAAATTTCAATAAACCTTTGAGTCGAAGACAATCAACTACTGTGGAATAACCACGTAATGCCCATTCTACAAACAAGTAGTACTACGAGTAGTATGAATTCCATATGGTAATGGTATTATACCGTACTCCCGACCTAGATACTTGCTAAAACCCCAGACACGTGTTTCGCCGATATTCTGCCGCTGCGTGACACAGCTGCGAGGGGTTCGGCTCTTCTCTGGGACCCCCAGCGTTCTCTAGCGGTTTCCGGTATATGAACCCCAGATTATCGGTGGAATATCGGCGAAACTCGTGTCTGTGCTTTTAGCAAGTATCTAGGTCGGGAGTACGGTATAATACCATTACCATATATATATATATATATATATATATATATATATATATATAT